TTTATATTTTTAAATACATCGAAATTGAAATTTCAGCCATACTAAATGAGCATTTTTATTTGTTGGGTTCAGGGTAGTATCTAGTCGAGCACTCTCGACTAGAATTTTCTTACTTGTTTTTCTTTTTTTTTTTTTTTAATATGTTTCATGTTAAAACTGGAAGAACATAGACGTGCTTCGTGAAAATACTCTACTTCAATAATTCTTTGCTTATTTCCACACATGAACAACACACACATACCTGGGACGAGACACATACTGTGGAGGACCATTCAAGGCTTCTATAAGTGAGACGGGTATATATCCAGCAGGAACATCTGGAGGAGTTGGCTCGCCAGACACTGTCGCTGGGGCATTCTGGTGCAGCATCTGCGTGCTAATTCCCTTTTGAACGGCTCGTATTTGTAAGAGTGCACGAAACGGCGCTCGACAGATTGGACAGTTATTGGCTTGGTAACGCAGAGAATCGGCACAAGAGTTACAGAGACAAAGATGTCGACAAGGCAAAATAAGTGTGTCACGGGTTTCGCTCATGCAAATAACGCACTCACTGCCATGATCGTCAATTTCTTCATCCATGGACGTTTTGTTTACTGCTTTGTTTTCAATGCCGTATATCTCTTGCAGTAAGTAGCATAGACCGTCCACAAAAATTTTTTGCTTAAGTGCCCGTAGCACATAACTGCATGTTTCTGGGTGGTGGTCTATTACGCAAATTGTAGTATGCGACTGACGGCATTCTTCATTACCTTCTTCGATGACACAATGTATAGCAACTGGGTATTGCTCGCGACCAGCATTGTATATAAGATCATCTTCGGGTATTACGTGTGGGTTGAATACATGACTGGGTTGTGAAAAACATTGATTGATACCTTTTTCGTAATAGTACGTATCAGATGTCAGAGAATATCCATCGCGTGGCGTTAGTTTAATGCCATTGGAACCCACATCTTCTGTACAAAAGTAATATATAGTTATAGCACATTTTGCGTCGGAATCGAATGTAAACTCAACATTGTAGTTTGGTGGCACTATCTCTGTCCCTTTATCAACTCCACCCATATTACAAAGAACGCTGCCGTCCAGTTCCTCAATAGATGCAGTTTCCGTTAGTTTCTTATTTTTTTCATTTTGTTGCAAGGTCTCAACATCAGCACAGCTTGACCTTTTCTCATTTGGTACTCTCACAAAACGCACAGATTCTTTTCTTATGTTGACGAGGCTCTTAAGAGTTTTCGTAGGTTCGTTAGCCTGTGGTGGCGGATATGGAAATGCTGTGGGGCGACTACCCAGGAAATTAAGATCCGCATTCTCACCAAATAAATATGACTCTGGTTGGGGCGTGTCAAATCGCTCACCACCCATTATAAAGTGGGTGCCAAAGAAATTTCCAATACGTGGTGGATATTTATAGGCATGATTGGTAATATGGTCAGCTTCCTCGACAGCTGCGTTTTGTCTACTTACAAAATTACCCATTTCTGCAGATATTTATTACTTTCTAGCTTTTGCCCTGCACTGTTTTCTATTTTATCCCTAACTTACTATTTCCGTAGTGATGATAAATCGGAACATCGATGTTTTCTTTATCGATATTAGTCGCTTGCTTGCAAATATAAAAACACGATTGTGTGATAGTAGGTTAACAAAGCGAGCAGCTGATTTGACAGCGTGACGTCATTCTTTCAGAAAATGGTGTGAGCGCGTTTAACTTTGTATGAAAATCAAACAATTTTGACAATGTTTTTCTTAAAACTAATATAGTATATAAAACGAGCTGTGCGGTTAATCACAAATTCTATATATGTGGATTCATTAATCAGGCAATGTAAGGGTTCTTGCTAATTCTATAAGTCGTTTTAGGCATTTTAGGCAGTTACTGAACGTGTTATCACTTGAATACTTATACTTTTGCATAGAACGGCTTAAACCTTACTATCTAAGGCTTTAGTTTGTAAAAATGAATATTTCTTAGTAGTAAATAAGTAGTAGTAAATTTCTTAGTATAAATATTTTATGAATTCCCATCAATCCGTATTATACATTTGTACTAATTTCATATAAATATAAATATGCATAATATTACGAATCTGATGGCGATAGATTATTTAGGCAGATTACATGTTTCCGGAAATTTCTGACATGATACAGGTGTGAGCGGCACCTTTATTGATGCAGCTACAACGTATACTATATTTAAATGTGCAAGTAAATTGGCATAAATAAACATTACCGATGGCGAAAACTCAGATAACATTCAAACATTCCTGCTGACATATTGGACATTTTGCAGTAGGCCTCTGAGTTCATTCCATTATATACCAAGTTTCTTTATTGTGAGGTAATAAAATTAGTAACTGACCATTTTTATGGTATTTACTATTTAAAAGTGAGGAGCCGAGCAAATACGAATTTGTGTGGCACGCAATGCTCGAAAACGAGTTTGGCAAACGGTTTGAAGAGTTCGGAATACTCTTCACACAGAATTCTGTGGCGGAAATGCCCATTATTTTGTCCATTACTCATGGATTACTTGTCGCCTGTGTGCATGAAAAGATCGATTACAAGCTGCATTGCTTTTTTAAGGAATGGCCGCTTTTTCTCTCGGGTGCATGAAATTATTGAATTTTGTAATGCAGAAAGTAATGTGGTGACGAAGTTTCCTTCGGCTCTCCATTACCCATGCGTATACTTTTTAAATATTGTAATGTAGAAATTCCGCAACCTGAAGAAAA